TTTTTTAAACATGAGGATTAAACCCAGAGGCACTTTACCACTAAGCCACACCCCCATCCCTTTAATATTTTATTTAGAGACAGGGGCTCACTAAGTCTCACTGAGTCACTGAGAGCCTCATTGAGTTGCTGGGGCTGGCTTTGAACTCGTGATCCTTCTGCCTTAGCCTCCTGAGCTTCTGGGATTACAGGCGTGCGCCACCATGCCCGGCTCCCTTTTTGTGAGTTTTATTAAGATTTGTGAAATAATAAGAAATGTAAGTTGGGCACAGTAACACATTTCTCTAATCCCATCTACTAGGGAGGTCAAGTCAGGAGCATCACAAGTTTGAGGTCAACCTTGGCAACTTAGTGGACCCCATCTCAAAATGAAAGATAAAAAGGACTGGAGATGTAGCTCAAGTTGTAAAGTACCCCCCCCCCCCCTTCCAAAAAAACCAGAGAAATATACATATTGGTTTCTGTCCCCAGTTCTTGGCACAGAGCTTCTGAAACCTTTGTCATTTCTCAGAGATGGGATACTAGGAGAAGCTTCAGCTTTAAAGTTTGGTCTCCGCCCTGGTTCTTGAGACTGAGCTTTTAATACTGGGTAAATAGTGTCAATAGGGGAATCTTTTGTTCAGATTCTTGATCTTTGACCCTGCCTCCTGGCAGGGCACTCCTGAGACCTAGGTAATTTCCTGATGATAGGAATGTCTGACAACTCTTCTAAATCCCTTGGAATTTCCTGGGTGTTAGGAACATCTTTTGTTCTAATGAGGTGATTTTAGGAGGGCTCCCTGAATAGCCTCAGGATGGAGGTTGGTTGCCAAGAGAACTGACCTGTGTGATAAGAGGGTTGGAACTTTTAGCCCCATCTCCCAGCTTTGGGGAGTGGAGAGGGACTGAAGATTAAGTTAATCAGTGATTTCATCATTCATGCTCATGCATTGAAGCTGTATAAAAAACCCCAAATGTACATACCTCACCCTTATGCAGCTCTTTCATCAGTGTGCTTGGTAGTGTCCTTTGTGAAAAACAGTAGACATATTTCCCTGAATTTTGTAAGCACTCTAGCAAATTAATTGAATGCAAGGAACGGGTTGTGGGGATCCTTGATGTATAGCTGGATGGTCAGAAGTGTAAATGACCACCTACAACTTCAGCTGGCTTTGAAAGTAAGGGCAGTGTTGTGGGATTGAGCCCTCAATCTGTAAGATATCATGGGAGATGAGGGGTCTCTGAAGAAGGGTCCAAGGATTTCCTGGAGAGAAGGGGAACTGGACTCAGGACCAGCAGTGTTCTTGGCATACGTGACAGAAAAGAATTTCAATGTGCTCATCAAAGGTAGAAACAGAGGTTAATTTAGGAAAGTAGATACACATTCAAGTGAGAATGAGGGCAATCTCCAGAGAAGTCTTTTGGGGTAAAGCAAGGAGTACATATTCAAGGGAGAACGAGAGCTGTCTTGAGAGTGAGAGATGCATTTTGGGGGTTCCCAATTTTTGTAAAGGAAACTTGGGGGTGGATATGGACAGCCATGTAGAAATGATATAATTCTGGGGATCTCACGATAGCTCCTGGTAGTGTGGTCAGTCTCAGGGTTCCTAGGCTGATGTGGTATTCATTATTTGATCAAGAGATAGCATTGGAAAGTCTCCTAAATTATAGGTTTTTTGAAATATCATGTCTCTTAATCTATTTTTCAGGGGACGGGGTTAATTTAACAGTGCCCAGGTATTACAGATTTCCCAGAAATTTGGGAAGTAACACATCTGAAAAAGAGACTGGCTTGGGTGTGACGGGCTTTGGAAGAGTATGTGGAACTTATGAAATAAAATATTTTTTTTCCTGTTCTTCTTCTTTATGTCTCCTTTGTACTCATTTCTTCTTTCTTCTATCTTACTTCAAGATCTGATCCATCTCCAAGTAGAGAGTAGCAGAATTGAATTGACTTGGAAGAGCTAGTGTCTGCTGCAGAATTGCTTGGTGTATGGGAAGATATCCCCACACATCTGGTGTCAGAGTGATGTGCTAAATTAAGTGCTGTGTAAAAGGCAGGAAAAATAGTATCTTTCCTCCTCACCTCTGAGGATTGCATTGAATAACAACAGGATTCTAATTGAGTTAAGGAGAACTAACATGTTAACAATATTGAATTTTCTGTTTCATGAACTTGAATATCTTAGGTATATCTTTAAGTCTTCTTTGATTTCTTTCGCCAGTATTTTGTAGTTTTCAGCATATGGATCTTGAAAATATTTTAAAAGCCTTTTTAAAAATATTTGTTTAGTTGTAGATAAACACACAGTATCTTTATTTATTTTTATATGGTGCTGAGGATCGAACACAATGCCTCACACATGCAGGGCAAGCGCTTTACCACTGAGCTACAGCCCCAGCCCCTAAAAGGCTTTTTATCAAAGTATTTTATATTTTATGTGCTAGTATGTTTTAGTTTACAAATAAAATTGAATTTGTGCTTTGAGCTTGTATTCTGCAACCTTGCTAAACCTCATGTGTTATAGTGTTTTTACCAAGTTTTATAGTTTTTTTTTTCTCCCTTTTGGTAGGTTTGCTGGGATTTTATAAATACCTGGTCATATTTTCTGGAATAGACAAGTTTTATTCTTCCAATCTGCATGCTTTTTAACCCTTTCCCTTTTTTTGTCCTCTCTCACCAGCTAGGTTCTCCAGTATCATGTTTAAAAGGAGCAGTCATTCTTGACTTGATCTTAGGGCAAAAGCAATCAGTTTTTCAAAAGTAAGTTTGGTGTTAGGTGCTGTTATTACTATTCTTAAAGATGCCAGATAGAGAAAATTTCTTTTCCTACTTTTCTGAAAGTATTAGGAATTGAGGCTGAATTTAATTCTTCTTTGTTAAGTGCCTCCTCATACCCTGGAGGCAGCCAGTGCTCTTGCTTTCTTACTATTTCACAGATGGTTTATACATGTACAAATAGTATGTGAGGATATATTTTTCTTCTTCCTTTTAAACATGATTGCTAGACAATATTCTAACTATTTTGTTCTATACATGTATACATTCTTGCTTGCTTTTTAAAAAATTTAACAGTATTATATATTATTCTTTAGCTTTCATATATTATTCTCAATCTTTTTTAAAAAATACTTATTTTTTAGTTATAGGTGGACACATGTCTTTATTTTTACTTTATATGGTGCTGAGGATCTAACCCAGTGCCTCACACATGCTGGGCACGCACTCTATCTCTGAGCCACAACCCCAGCCCTGTTCTTATTCTTTTTTGACAGCATAGTCAGTCTTTTGTTAATGAACATTTGGGAATTTCCAGTCTTTTGCCTTTAGAAAATACTTCAATAAATGACTATGAATATGCACATTTGAAGCCATCATTTTAGACTTCTTGAGTGTGTAAATTATTTGGGAGGGAAACAGTTTTCTCCTCCCTTTGCTTTCCTGCTTTAACTGTGTCTAGATAATATGCTGTCTTTTGTAAAGGGCTCAGTTACCACAGAGAGAATAAAATTGTTGCGTTTCCACACCAGCTCTTGTGCTTGGTCTAGGTGTGAGGTGACTCCTCACCTATCATTAACATAATTCACATTTGACATAATTCCTTTCCTGTAGTATCAGAGCCATCAGTGATAATCACCTTGGAAGTCAGTAGGAAGGAAGGCTTTTCCTTGCAAAGGCATTTCCTAGGTGCCTGCTTTTCCCTTACGGTTATCTCAGACTCCTGGCATTCCCAGCGTGTAGTCTTTAGTATCTTGCCAGATCTTAGGCCACTGGTTTGACTTTGACTCACTGATAGCTCTTTAAGGTTCCTAAAATTCCACTCCTCCTAACATAGTAATCCTTTGGTTTTTGCCTTTCTTGTACCATGAGGTATTCTTCATCATTTCCAGGTGCTGTATTGTCTTTATGTGGAACAGTGTTTTTATTTCTGAAGAGTTATGTTTTTATCTGATGAATAAACTCAGCCCCAAGAAAAATCTGAGTGTAACAAAAATTTGTATTTCCTGGCTGTGTTTTTACTGAGAATCTTCTGTTTTATAGACCATTTGTTTTTCTCAGATGTGATCTTTATATGTACAAAGGTGGTTTGGAAAGGGGAAACACTGTGTTAGGGCTTCTTTTAGTGAATATAAATGAATGATATTTGCTTTTCAAGACCAAGGTGATATAGCTCTCATTATTGTAAAAATATTTTATTTAAGTCACTGTGAAGCTCTATGAGCGTAAGCTTTGTAAAATTAACACAAAGACCCATCTTTAACTTACGTATGCCAAATTTAACAATCAATTGGTGACGTTTTTACCTGAATGAGACCAGGGCATAGCCGACAGGGTGGAACGCAGCCATGGACAGGGAGCCTCAGGGCTACTTGGTTCTGCTGGTGGTGTGCACCATTTCTTTAGGAATTCATTTTTCCAGTTCCTAAAAAAGAATTAATATTACCATCCTCTCCCCTTTTTTCACAGTGGTATATTGGAAGATCTGAGAGAGGCAGGATTAAGATTTTTAGAATAAACATTTCTGTGGTGACAAAGGTTGTTACAGTAAAAACAAAGATGAATGTACTATAAAATCTTTAAAGCAGTGTGCACCCTGTTGTTTAGGGCATAACAATAAGCTTGTTATCCTGAAATAAGGACACATTTCTGAGTTATTTTCAAACCAGATGGTCCCTCAGTTTTGACTGCTTTAAAACACCTCAGTGGTGGATTTAATGGGTTTAGGGGGTAGGAAACAATTCGGGTTCATCCATCTGGCCTCTGCCTACAGAACCAATAGAAGTTACTTTTTATGTAGTTTCTAAAACTCATTTCCAGATTATTCAGGTTAGCTTTAGCGTTCTTCATCTAGTACAGATGAAGTTCTTAATTATACAAAGGAAAAAATCCAGGCTTTCAAATGTTGCCGAATTGTAACGTGTAACGGCAGGAATCAGCTTACTGGTTGCTCAATATTTAGTTATACATTTGATTGCTTTTGTGGTTCCAGATAGCAATTATTTCTAATATTTATTTTTCAGTGAGGGCCGAGGCAAGTTGACCGTATTTTCAGTTAAAGCTATGTTAGCAACCATGTGTGGTGGAAAAATGCTGGACAAATTGAGATGTAAGTATTTTCATATTATTTGAAAACTTTTCTTTTCAAATTAGGAGCTTTAAACAGTTTTGATGAATGTTTTGGAAGATGCCTTATTGAGCTTTTGTATTTTATTTTACCTCCTCTCTTTGCAGCAGCTGGCTCAGTATGTGAGTTTCGCCACCTACTGTTCAAATGGAGAAGTTGGTTGATTTAATTGTTTTTTAAAGTGAAAAAACCAAAGAGGTTCAGAATAATAATGTTGACATTTTAAAAATCCTTCAAAAACTGTTTTCCATGTTACTAAAATGTGCTTGAAGATGATTATGTTGAGAACTTTTACCTAATTAGAAAATAAATTTGATTGCCTTTGAGGGGTCTGGTCAAGCCCAGCCTTTTCTTGATGACAACATTTGGTCAGGTGGTATTTGCTGTGTTTAAACTATTCTCAGTACTTATAGTCAGGCTCAGCTATTTGGAAATTGATAGCCTTCCTTCCTGCAAGTTATCTTTTCTTTGTTGTTGTTTTGGTTTTCTGTTGACCAGTTTGGCATTTTATTATCCAGTAGATATTGTAAGAATGTGACTAGATGAAATCAGTGAAGACAAGAACTACAGCTATTTAATTTTTCTGATTGTGGTTTGTATTTATTCGATCATTAGGTGACTTTTGCTTCTGGACTGTGCCAAGCATTGTGCTAAGTGTTCTTTATATATTTTCCCATGAAATCCTTAAAAATTCCTTCAAGCAGAAGGTGGCTTTTTTTTTTTTTAATGGGGGAAAGCTGGGATTTCATCTGAATTCAGAGCACTGGTCTAGGCTACTGTGTCATTTCCCCCCACGCCAGTACTGTAATGTGAGGCGCACATGTTACAGAACCATGTTCAAGTGCTTCCATACAAGCACCAGAGACAAAGGAGCTTGCCTCAGGTTTCAGGGAGATGAAGTTGAATCTGTGTGTTTTAACCAAGTGTTGAGATACTCTCTGAATTCAACTGTGCTGTAGCATGTCTCATAAGCTGGGTCTTGATGATTGCATCCTTGGGATATTCCTTTGGGTTCTGCTTTTTTTTTTTTTTTAATTGAAAAAACAGAGGCTTGATCATCTCAGATTTGAGTGAGCTTTGGACGAGATTGCCTCATAGGCACATTTGTTCTCTCTGTGTTTTTTTTTATGTGAGGCATTGACATTGAAAGTTGGAAAGTTAGATCACCCACAAGATCAGATTTAGATATTCTAAAGAACGATCTTAGATCATGTATTTGATCAACTCTTGTCCTGTTTAACTTCATTTCAAAATTGGCTGCAATGACGTAAAGTGGTCATAAAAATTAATTTTTTATTTAGATACTTTTCTAAGGTTTTTTTTTTTTTTTTTAAAACATGATATCTGAAAATATTACTCTTTGGGACTGAAATCTTTCATATTTTCTTAATGTGGAATGGTGTTTTTCTGAGGAAGATAATATATAGATGAATTTATATTTCATTGACATACACAAGAAATTTGGAATCTTGTTTGAGTTTTAAATTGATGATGTTACCAGATGAAGAGGCTGGTTGGACAATAGTAGTAGGTTGATTGATTTTATTTAGCTTCATATTCTATTTTATTTATTTTTAGTGGTGCTGAGGCTCAAACCCAGTGCCTCATACATTCTAGGCAATATAGCCCCAGCCCCTAACTGCATATTTTAGATGATCCTAGAGTCTTTACATTTCTGTGATTAAATTTGCTACATTTACATGTAGTCGGCTCCCCTGGCACATTGTGAGTACTTAGAAATTTGCCAGATATAAATTATTGATCGAATAAAAAATCACAACAATTTTTTGTTGTTAACTGTTTAGTGAAAAAGTGCAAATTTCTCTAGTATATAAAGTATGGAAGGACCCATGTGGTGGCAGTTTGTGTTTTCTATGCTGATGGTCCAACCTACAGCCCCAAGCATGCTAGTTAGGCAAGCACTTGACAGCAGGTTTTTTGGTGTGGCTTTGAACTTCTTGGAAAAACACAAATTGACCAAGATTCAGGGGGCACAAGAACATGCATGCTACCGCAAATGGGATGTGTTGGTGTGCTCAAAATGCTTTCATTACACTTAGAATAAAGATTGAGATGATACAAGTTGTACTTGATTACTGATCTCTTAAGCACCATGTTTATCTTATTCAGATACATAAAGATACATTTTCTTTATTCTCATAATTATGGTTTTTCTACCAATGTAGCTCTGTTTAATTTTTATTGTACTGTAATTATCTTTGCTTGGGAATTAGCTGTTCAACGTTAAGTGGACATTTTGGGTATTGAAAGCCTGTCTCCAGTTTTAAATTTCAACCACCCAGGGTGTAAACCCCTTTAAAATGAGGCCAGTTTCTTCTGTTTACCAGAACTCACTGATCATAATTTAAGCATCTTTCATTTGTTAGTGATGTCATTCTTTAGTCTATTTAGGGATAAGTAAAGTGTAGGGTTGTTTAGTCCCTTCTCTTGAGACTGTAGTTGGCCCATGGGGTTAAGGGTGTTGACCCCCCCCTCAGTAGAAAATCCACAAAATGCTTTTAACTCCTCAGTTCTTAACTGATAGTAGCCTGCTGTTGGCCAAAGGCCTTACTAATAACATAAACGATTGATTAACACTTTGTATGCTGTATGTGTTTTGTATGGTAGGAAATAGGCCAGAATGGTGAGAGATGGCTATGCAGTTCTCTGGAGAAGTGGACTGCTCCTGCGGAGATGATCAGTATCACACGTGTTCATGTGATGCAAGATGGGCTCACCTGCCCACTCTGATAGCACTAGGAGGTAGCTACAAAACATGGTAGTAGCACACTATGTACTACAGTTGATTTTATGCAGTGTGTTTCAATACTGTGTCTTTGCATTTGTTTACATTTCTCTCCACTGCAAGTGGTGCCATGTGTAGTCTGTGTAAAAGCTTTGATAAATTTTAACTTTTCATAGTTGATTTGTATAGAGTATAAATGACAAAATAGACTTATCTACATATATTTTATACATTTTTCATATTTTTTTCAGTATTTCTGAGTTATGAGGTTCATCTGTGAGTTTTTTCAAATTGTCCCAGGTATAAAAACAAAAAAAAATCCTGTATATAAATAAGTAAGTGCACCTGAGTAGTTGAAACCAATGTTGTTCCAGGGTCAGCTGTACTGTGCCTTGTAAATTCTTGATTGTTGTTGGAGGTAGAATGCGTGTATCCTTTATCACTGGTTAATGTGATGTTAACAGTATACTAGTCTCTAGAAGTCTTTTTGCTTCTGATTTACTACTTTTCATATGCTACTGAAAAAGAAAATCATAATGAAATTTCTTAGTATCTGTTTAAGCTAAAGATTCAGAGTGATTTCTCCATTATGAGAGAAGCACCTGGTTGTCAGTTTTGGCTGTTGTGAGAATCTTTCCCTTGGTTTTTAATTGAGGTGGCTGAATAAGGAGGCAACCAAAGTGAACTATAACTCTGGCTGGTAACATCACAGAAGGACACATCATTTATTCACTCTCTTCTACTCCACCCTCCTCCTCCTCACTGCTTTTTTACTGCTATCTCTATTCATGTTTTCACTATGTTAGGTTTTCTAGTATATGGAATACACCTTAGCATGTGTACTTTTTTTTCTTTTTACTTTGATCTTTTAGTTTTTACCTCTTAGAATTTAAAAACTTTGAATTTTCCCCCCATCTTTTTCATTTGACTTCTTAACGTTTGTTTTAGTGTCAAGGTAGCATTTGAAATGACTTGTGCCTTTAGTCTGAAACATTTGCTGATTGGATTTTTTTAGATTCCTCTTAAAAGCATTTTGTTCCCTGAGCTAGATTTTGTGGCTTATACCTATAATCCCAGTGACACACAGGAGGATGGCAAGTTCAAAGCCAGCCTCAGCAACTTAGCAAGACCCTGTCTCAAATTAAAAAATTAAAAAAAGCCTGGATGTGGCTCAGTGGTTAAGCAACCCTTGATTCTAACCTCCAGTTCCCCCCCCAAAAAGCATTTCTGTCCATGGGTGTCATTCATTTGCACAAATGGTTCCGTATTGGTACTATTAGGGACTGTATCTTAGAGTGAAAGTTAACTTACATCAGGATTATAAATAGCAGTGATTTATAATCAGAATATAAACTTTAAAGTATAATTTAAACAGTAATATCAGAATTCCAAAATATAACTAATGAGAACAAAACTTTCAGAATATAAAGTCTATTATTAAGCAACACTTAATTGTTAGTTACCTGACAATTCTATTTGTTTTATAAGAAATTTAATTTAATCACCTCTTATGCAAATCTCATCTAGTTGCACTAAATAATAGGACTGGGTGATTTGTAAAGTTATTTTAAATTCATTAAAAAACTAGTGTTACCGTTTTGAAGAGTGCAGGGAAGGCTGTAAAAATATTCAGATCCCTTTGTTCAGTCTGCTTCTGCAGTTTTCCCTAAGGAATAATCAGAGGTGCACCTTAAATTTTAGGTATATGTATGTGTGTGTGTACGTTTACATGTATAAATACAATTATTTTTGAGATGAAAATGTCATTAAGTTGTCCGTGCTGGTGTCAGAGTAGTCCTCCTACCTCAGCCTCTCAAGCTTCTGGGACTACAGGTGGACACCACTGTACACAGCTTAAGTTTTAGATATATTTAGATATATTTGTTGGAACATTTTTTATAATACACAGAAACTTGAACAGTTTAGTGTTCAAAAGGGAGAGCTCAGTTAAGTTTTGAGACATTCACATGATTGAATATAATGCCTTTAAAAATATGTTATAGATCAGAATGCATAAATGTAGTGTGGTTTTCAACAATAATTGATTATGCACATAGAAAAACAAGAAATAAAAAAATAAAATAAGTAAATAAAATATACTTATGTGCTAATGGGGATTTTCTCTGTGTTGTAGCACAATGGTTTTATAATAGTAATAATATATATTGTTTATATTTTTGCATGATTTTGAGAGACCACATTTTGAGTATTCAGAAAAGGTGCCCCAAGGCTCTTT